TGGTGCTGATGATTGCTGCCACTTGCCTCTCCTTAGGCATAGGGACCACTGGGATCTGCCACATCTCGTTGTAGACATCCCTGTCCTCATGAAGGTCCCAAAGAATTCGATCGCCAAGCCTTGCGGTGTAGGTCTTGGCTCCCTTCGAGTTCGTGTCCATGCCGGCCTTTGCCAACCGCCGCACGGAAATCAGGTTTGCAGCAAGGGTGGGCACCCAAAGCACGTTCTTGAGGCCCACCATCTTCCCATCAGCACCCTTGAACATGGCCTTGCCCATGCCTTTCACCTCTGCTCGCTGCCCCAAAGCCGATGTGACATGCTTCACCGGTGACGGCTCGAGTTCGGTGAGCAAGTCCGGGCGAGGTGTCATGCTATAGGTAGCGCCACTATCAATCACCCAATAGTCCAGGGGGTGTAGGGTCACCTTCCCCACAGCTGCTGGCTCCTCAAAGCCTTCATCCTTCTCTGGACCAGCCGGTACTTGCGTCGACACGAAGTAGAATAGACCCGGGTATCGATCGTCGCTCGGGTCCTTGTCGTTGTCTCCGCTCTTCATGTTTGCAGCTCCGCCACCGCGACCGCCACGGCCTCCACGGCCTCGTCCTCTCCCTCCTCCTGCTCCTCTACCCTCTTGGCCTTGAGCAGGGGTCCAACCATCAGGGAGTTTGTAGCATTCGCGCCACATGTGTCCGCTCTTGTGGCAATAGTGACACTCGCCGTCGAATCGGCCGCGACCGCGTCCGTAGCTCTTGTCGTCGCTGCCGTAACCGCCACTCCTGCGGCCTCCGCCGAAGTTGCTGCCACCAAACCTTCCTCCCCCTCGTCCTCTGCCTCTTCCTCGACCATATCCACGGCCGATGCTCGCTGTTCCAGCGCCATCCGCACTCGCCAACTCACGGCGGCGGAAATCCTCTTGAAGGATAGCTCGCTTCACGTCTTCAAGCGAGAGGCGGGGCAAGTCGCGATTAAGGTTGATGATGAGCGAGGACCATGACTCTGGGAGTAAGGCCAGCAACTTGGTCTTCTTTTGGAGCTCACTGTAGTTCAAATCAGCTCCCTCAAGCCGCGTCAACAAGTCGAAGAATTTCTGCACCCCTTCTTCAACCGCTTCGTCTTCTTCAATTCGTAGTGCCGCCATTTGCCGTTCCAACACCACCGCTACCGCCGCTGTTGCAGGAGCATGTACACCCTTGAGAGCAGCCCATGCCTTTGGTCCTTTCTCTGGTTCACGCTGGAATGGCTTGATGTGACGGATCTGACTGCTCCCCAACGCTTGCCCAAGTAAGAGATAGCCTTGTGCGCTCTTCCGCACCCACGGGCTCTTCTCCGGGTCGTTCTCGGGGCGCTTCTCCGTTCCTTCCATCACCTCCAGCAGGTCATAGTGGTCAAAGATGTTCTCCATCTTGAAGGACCATTCAGCAAAGTTGTCACCGTTGAACTTGTCAAGCCCAAACACCCTAGGCTCATCCCTAGGTGGGCCAAGACTTGGTTGCATGGGCGCCATGGCTGAATCACGGGGTTGGCCTTGAGCTTGAGCTTCTCCACTGCCACCAGCACCTCTGCCACCCCTTTCCTCAGGTCCAGAAATTGTCGAAACTGCTCCAAGGGGCTCTGATACCACTTGTTATAGTCACAATAGGCTTGAATGTGCCTAAAACGAAAGATAGAGAGCACAGACGGATTTCTGCACAGCGGCTTCAAACGTTGATAGCGTTCTGCTCACAGCTGCAAATGACTTGATTCAAATTGGATCTGGAGCGTCTTTACGTCGTCTAGAATTAGCAATTTAGATTGCACGATTTGATAAAGAATTGACGACACAGCGTCGGTTTGAACGAACGGTACTATGGCAGCCACTATAGTCTTAGAACACAAGATAGGAAGAGTTACGAGTTGGGAATGACTCCCAGCTCCTACAAACCCCAAGAGCCGAGGTACAGTGATGTGGAACAGTGCCATACTGTCCCCAACCACGAAGGGTCTCGAAAATACCCTTCACTAGGGCCTACACCAAGTGAAATGTTACACTACACAAAGTAATGTAACTATCTTCAATATCTTGAGGTGTACCCTTTTGGCAAGCTTCGAAATCACTTGAGGCTTGACACCAAGGCTCGGGCTCTTCATCACAAACTCATCCTTGAGTTCTTGATGGGTCTGCTGCACACACCTGCGACACGCCGAACGTTCAACACAGGACAAAATAGAAACTGCGCACGACAAAATAGAAACCGCGCGCGAGACACAAACGACCGCGTAACACGCGTCTAGCGATAACTCGCTATTGACTCGACACACACACTCGACATCATGACTCAACATTCACACACAATTATAAGCATGAAATATATAGTATCCCATGCCCTCATACCATTCCATACACACACACATTCACGCACACGGACAACAAGCCGAGTGCAAACCGTAGGGTTGCACCAACAGCCCTCATGCCCTCATCCCCTCATGCCCTCATGCCCTCATGCCCTTATGCACTCATGCCCTCATGCCCTCACACCCTCATGCCCTCATGCCCTCATGCCCCCATGCCCTCATGCCCTCAAGCTCTCATTCCCTCAAGCTCTCATGCCCTCAAGCGCTCATGCCCTCATGCGCTCATGCCTTCATGCCCTCATGCCCTCATGCCCTCAGGCGCTCAAGCCCTCATGCCCTCATGCACTCATGCCCGCATGCCCTCATGCTCTCATGCCCTCATGACCTCATGCCCTCATGCCCTCATGCCCTCATGTACTCACACCCTCATGCCCTCATGCCCTCATGGCCTCATGCCCTCATGGCCTCATGCACTCATGCCCTCATGCCCTCATCCCCTCATGCCCTGATGCCCTCATGCCCTCATGCCCTCATGCCCTCATGCCTCGCATGCCCTCACGCCCTCATGCCCTCATGCCCTCATGCCCTCACGTCCTCATGCCCTAATGCCCTCACGCCCTCATGCCCTCATGCCCTCATGCCCTCATGCCCTCATGCCCTCATGCCCTCATCCCTTCATCCCCTCATGCCCTCATGCCCTCATGCACTCATGCCCTCATGCCCCCACGTCCTCATGCCCTCACGCCCTCATGCCCTCATGCCCTCATGCACTCATGCCCTCATGCCCTCATCCCCTTATGCCGTCATGCCCTCATGCCCTCATTCCCTCATGCACTCATGCCCTCATTCCCTCACGCCCTCATGCCCTCATGCCCTCATGCCCTCATGCCCTCATGCCCTCATGCCGTCATGCCGTCATGCCCTCACGCCCTCACGCCCTCATGCCCTCATGTACTCATGCACTCATACCCTCATGCCCTCATGACCTCATGAACTCATGCCCTAATGCCCTCATGCCCTCATGCCCTCATGCACTCATGCCCTCATGCCCTCATGCCCTCATGCCCTCATTCCCCGCATGTACTCATGCACTCATGCACTCATGCCCTCATGCCCTCGTGACCTCATGATCTCATGCCCTCATGCCCTCATGCCTTCATGCCCTCATGCACTCATGTCTTCATGCCCTCACGCCCTCATGCCCTCATGCACTCATGCACTCATGCAGATATGCCCTCATGCCCTCATGCCCTCATGACCTCATGCCCTCACGCCCTCGTGCCCTCATGCCTTCATGCCCTCATGCCCTCATGCACTCATGCCCTCATGCCCTCACACCCTCATGCCCTCATGCCCTCATGCCCCCATGCCCTCATGCCCTCAAGCGCTCATGCCCTCAAGCGCTCATGCCCTCATGCGCTCATGCCTTCATGCCCTCATGCCCTCATGCCCTCAGGCGCTCAAGCCCTCATGCCCTCATGCACTCATGCCCGCATGCCCTCATGCTCTCATGCCCTCATGCCCTCATTCCCTCATGCCCTCATGTACTCACACCCTCATGCCCTCATGCCCTCATGGCCTCATGCCCTCATGGCCTCATGCACTCATGCCCTCATGCCCTCATCCCCTGATGCCCTCATGCCCTCATGCCCTCATGCCCTCATGCCTCGCATGCCCTCACGCCCTCATGCCCTCATGCCCTCATGCCCTCACGTCCTCATGCCCTAATGCCCTCACGCCCTCATGCACTCATGCCCTCATGCCCTCATGCCCTCATGCCCTCATGCCCTCATGCCCTCATCCCTTCATCCCCTCATGCCCTCATGCCCTCATGCACTCATGCCCTCATGCCCCCACGTCCTCATGCCTTCACTCCCTCATGCCCTCATGCCCTCATGCACTCATGCCCTCATGCCCTCATCCCCTTATGCCGTCATGCCCTCATGCCCTCATTCCCTCATGCACTCATGCCCTCATTCCCTCACGCCCTCATGCCCTCATGCCCTCATGCCCTCATGCCCTCATGCCCTCATGCCGTCATGCCGTCATGCCGTCATGCCCTCACGCCCTCACGCCCTCATGCCCTCATGTACTCATGCACTCATGCCCTCATGCCCTCATGACCTCATGACCTCATGCCCTAATGCCCTCATGCCCTCATGCCCTCATGCACTCATGCCCTCATGCCCTCACGCCCTCATGCCCTCATGTACTCATGCACTCATGCACTCATGCCCTCATGCCCTCGTGACCTCATGATCTCATGCCCTCATGCCCTCATGCCTTCATGCCCTCATGCACTCATGTCTTCATGCCCTCACGCCCTCATGCCCTCATGCACTCATGCAGTCATGCACATATGCCCTCATGCCCTCATGCCCTCATGACCTCATGCCCTCACGCCCTCGTGCCCTCATGCCTTCATGCCCTCATGCCCTCATGCACTCATGCCCTCATGCTTTCATGCCCTCACGCCCTCATGCCCTCATGCCCTCATGCCCTCACTCCCTCATGAACTCATGCCCTCCCGCCCTCATGCCCTCACGCCCTCATGTACTCATGCACTCATGCACTCATGCCCTCATGCCGTCATGACCTCATGACCTCATGCCCTCATGCCCTCATGCCCTCATGCCTTCATGCCGTCATCGCAGGCGCCAAACTTTTCTATGCGCGCGAACCAAGCTGGAATTGCTCTAGTATGTGTATTTAAGCATGGGCCATCCGAATAAGCAACAACATTCAGGTCGTTTGATGCTTTTCCCTACGCCGTGCGCTTCCTTAGCATTTGTCGGCAATCGCGGCCGTCATCGCAGACGCCGAACTTTTCTGTGCGCGCGAACCAAGCCGGAATTTCTCTTGTAGGTGTATTTAAGCATGGTCCATCCGAATAAGCAACAACACCCAGGTCGTTCGACTCTTTTCCCTAGGACGCAGCCTCAGGAGGGGTGCTTCTGGGGCTAGGGGTGCTCCTGGAGCTGGTGCTCGTGGTTCCCCGCCTAGGCGGGAGCGGCCCTCTCCCCAGAGGCTCTGACAGTGGTACGCTCGGCGCTGCAGTCTCCGGAGTGGTGCTGCTGGTGCTACCGACCCTGGAGTTGGAGCTGCTGCTGGTGCTGAGGACCCTGGAGCTGGAGCCGCTACTGGTGCTACCGACCCTGGAGTTGGAGCTGCTGCTGGTGCTGAGGACCCTGGAGCTGGAGCTGCGGCTGGTGCCGCGGACCCTGGAGCTGGAGCTGGTGCTGGTGCTGGTGCTGCTGGTGGTGCTGCTGGAGGTGCTGCTGGAGCTGGAGCTGCTGGGGACTCCACTGGTGCTGGAGGTGCTGCTGGTGCTGGAGCTGCTGGAGGCGCTGCTGGTGCTGGAGGTGCTGCTGGTGCTGGAGCTACTGGAGGTACTGCTGGTGCTGGAGCCGCTGGTTCAGGAGGTGCTCGTACTGGAGGTACTGGAGCTGCTGCGGGGGTTGGAGCTGGAGGTACTGGAGCTGCTGGGGTTGCTGGTGGTGCAGCGGGAGTTGGTGCTGGAGACCCTGGGGCTGAGGGTGCTGGTGCTGTCTCTGCTGGTTCAGGAGGTGCTGAGCGGCCGCGGCCGTACTACGTTCCGCTCCTTCAGCAGGTTCTTGGCCTCCCGCCCTCCACTGGTCCTTCTCCTCCCCTACTGAGTCCACCACCTGTCCAGTCGCAGTCGCAGTTACCGCTTGCCTCTCCACTGCCTGGTCCTTCTCCCTACGCTGGGCCGACTAGAGGTCTTACGGAGCGTCGTGAGCCTGAGTCTCGTCCTGCGTCGCCTGAGTCTCGTCCTGAGTCACCTGAGTCTCGTCCAGAGTCGCTTGTCCGCGCTGTCCGCGCTGGTCGTCGTGCTCCGTGTCAGCGTCCTCCTCCTGTACTTGGCACTCACTATATGACTCTGCGTCCTTCCACTGCTCCACAGCGTGTCCCTCTGTCGTCTCCTCCTGCGTCCTCTCTTCCTGCCCTTGCTGACCCGCCGTCAGACCTTGCTCATGCTGCCAGTCCTACTGTCACGCGTCTTCTCGCTACTGTTGTCACTGACCCTGACTTTGAGTCAACTGCTGCGTCTGCCCTAGTTGCTGAGCTTGTTGACTTTGCTGCCGCCTGTCGTCTAGACTACGCCGCTAGCCTTGTTGCTGAGTCTGAGTCTGTCTGTCCTCCGTCCGTCGGGGGTGAGTGTGCTCTTGGCACGGACGTCCTTGAGGACAGACAGGAGGAGTTTGAGTGCTTTGCCGCTGCTTTACCTCATCTCGTGTCCATGCTGATTGCCCCTGAGGGAGACCCGGATGCACCAGACATCCCGACCCCACGCTCTTACGCAGAGGCGATGGAGGGTCTCTACTCCTCTCAGTGGCAGACAGCCATGGACGCAGAGATGGCTTCCTGGAAGTCCACACGCACCTACGTCGACGAGGTTCCCCCACCTGGGGCGAACATCGTCAGTGGCATGTGGATTTTCAGGGTGAAGCGGCCGCCAGGTTCTCCGCCTGTCTTCAAGGCGCGTTACGTTGCACGAGGCTTCAGTCAGCGAGAGGGAGTTGACTTCTTCCAGACCTTCTCCCCGACCCCGAAGATGACCACTCTTCGGGTTCTGCTGCACGTCGCTGCTCAGCGTGACTACGAGCTCCACTCTCTTGACTTCAGCACTGCGTTCCTACAGGGCAGCCTGCACGAGGAGATCTGGCTGCGCCGCCCACCTGGCTTCACTGGGGCGTTCCCTCTTGGTACCCAGTGGAGCCTCCGGCAGCCAGTCTACGGTCTCCGCTAGGCACCCCGTGAGTGGCACGACACACTGAGGACTAGTCTTGCTGCTCTTGGGTTTGCTCCTTCTACTGCTGACCCGTCGCTGTTTCTACGCACCGACACCACTCTGCCGCCGTTCTACGTTCTCGTGTACGTAGACGACTTGGTCTTTGCTACTGCTGACACTGAGGCACTCGCCCACGTGAAGTCGGAGCTGCAGAAGAGACACACGTGCACAGACCTGGGTGAGCTGACAAGCTATCTTGGCTTGCGGATCACCCGGGACAGAGCACAGCGCACCGTCACCTTGACTCAGTCACACATGGTGCAGCAGGTCCTTCAGCGCTTCCGCTTCACGTACTCCTCGCCTCAGCCCACTCCTCTGCCTACCGGTCACTCGCTCTCAGCTCTGCCTTCGGATGAGTCCGTAGAGCCGAGTGGCCCGTATCCAGAGCTTGTGGGCTGCCTCATATACCTGATGACCTGCACTCGACCTGACCTTGCATACCCTCTTAGCATCCTAGCACGCTATGTCGCTCCTGGCCGTCACTGGAAGGAGCACATGGATGCCGCTAAGAGGGTGTAGCGCTACTTGTGCAGTACGTCAGGCATGGGGCTTGTGCTTGGAGGACGGCGCGACGTTGTCCTCACTGGACACTCAGACGCTTCTTGGGCTGACGACCAGGCTACGCAGCGGTCGTCTCAGGGTTACACCTTCAGCCTTGGCTCTGGTTCAGTTTTTTGGCGTTCTACACGCTCGTCTTCAGTTCTCAGCTCCAGTTGTGAGGCTGAGATCTACGCCACAGCCATGGCTGCCTAGGAGCTACGCTGGCTCACCTACCTGCTGACCGACCTGGGAGAGCGGCCCTCGTTCTCCTCCAGTGCTGTACGTTGACAACAAGGCCGCCATTGCCTTGTATGTGTTCACCAAGGCGCTCCAGCCTTGTGACCATCAGCGTTTCTGTACTGTTCTAGGCCTTGTGCCTACTGTCCCTCACTTGCTCACTTCTTGACTCTGCTTGTACTGTGATCTCTATATATATATATACCTGCATGCTTATACTTGCTAGGTTGTGATCACTGTACCTCTTGTTATATTATCAAACTGCATGTGAACTGGTCTTGTGACCTCTTGCTTGTGCTCGGAATTTGTGTGGTTTCCTTGAGATCCACCCTGAGCTTGCTTTGCTTTGCTTTGACTGGTCTTGTGACCATCTGGTTGTCTCCCACTTAGCCTATGGGGGTGTGTCAAACATTATACATGTTCCTATTGTGTAGGCTATAGTGGGTTTAGCCTTAGGGGGTACAACATTGCTAGGGTTTCCTACTTGTATCACCCTGCTGCCTAGTTTCACACATTCTCGTTCACTTCTAGTTTCTAACACGAAAACCAAGCCGGAATTGCTCTGGTAGGTTTATTTAAGCATGGGCCATCCGAATAAGCAACGACACTCAGGTCGTTCGACTCTTTTCCCTACGCCTATAGGAATCCTAGCGCTTTTTTAGCATTTGTCACCAGACGCGGCCGTCATCGCAGGCGCCGAACTTTTCTATGCGCGTGAACCAAGCTGGAATTGCTCAGGTGGGTGTATTTGAGCATGGGCCACCTGAATATGCAACGACAGTCAGGTCGTTGGACACTTTTCCCTACGCGCATAGGGATCCGAGCGCTTCTTTAGCATTTGTCGGCAGACGCGGCCGTCATCGCAGGCGCCGAACTTTTCTATGCGCACGAACCAAGCCGGAATTGCTCTGGTAGGTGTATTTGAGCATGGGCCACCCGAATATGCAACAACATTTAGGTCGTTTGATGCTTTTCCCTACGCCTATAGGGATCCGTGCGCTTCCTTAGCATTTGTCGACAGACGCGGCCGTCATCGCAGGCCCCGAACTTTTTTTGTGCGCGCGAACCAAGCCGGAATTGCTCTGGTAGGTGTATTTAAGCATGCGCCACCCGTATAAACAACAACACTCAGGTCGTTCGACTCTTTTCCCTAAGCCTATAGGGATCCGAGCGCTTCCTTTGCATCTGTTGGCACACGCGGCCGTCGTCGCAGGCGCCAAACTTTTCTGTGCACGCAAACCAAGCCGAAACTGCTCTGGTCAGTGTATTTGAGCAAGGGCCACCCGAATATGCAACGAATTTTAGGGTGTTCGACGCTTTTCCGTACGCCTATAGGGATCCATGCGCTTCCTTAGCATTTGTCGGCAGACGCGGCCGTCATCGCAGGCGCCGAATTTTTCTGTGCGCGCGAACCAAGCCGGAATTGCTCTCGTAGGTGTATTTCAGCATGGGCCACCAGAATATGCAACGAAATTCATGTCGTTCGACGCCTTTCCCTACGCCTATAGGGATCCGAGCACTTCCTTAGCATTTGTCGGCAGACGCGGCCGTCGTCGCAGGAGCCTAACTTTTCTGTGCGCGCAAACCAAGCCGGAATCGCTCTGGTATGTGTATTTCAGCATGGGCCACCCGAATAAGCAACGAAATTCATGTCGTTCGACGCTTTTCCCTACGACTATATGGATCTGAGCGCTTCCTTTGCATCTGTCGGCACACGCGGCCGTCGTCGCATGCGGCGAACTTTTCTGTGCGCGGGAACCAAGCCGGAATTGCGTTGGTAGGTATATTTGAGCATGGGCCACTCGAATATGCAACAACATTTAGGTCGTTTGATGCTTTTCCCTACGCCTATAGGGATCCGTGCGCTTCCTTAGCATTTGTCGACAGACGCGGCCGTCATCGCAGGCGCCGAACTTTTTTGTGCGCGCGAACCAAGCCGGAATTGCTCTGGTAGGTGTATTTAAGCATGGGCCACCCGTATAAACAACAACATCATGGTAGTTCGTGAGAGATAAGTAATCTCTCTGGCAGTGCTGGCGTGTCATTTCTTTCCAAATACATTTGAGCAGGTACACGAATGGCTTTGGGACTCCAACATGCAATGGGAGGTACATGAAATGCCATTAAAGGCACCTTCTTCTTGTCCCTGGGCAACCAAACCAGCTGGAATCGTGCTTGTCTACCGTTTCCTTTTGTGCCTCCTCTGCGTGCCTCCTCCGAGCGCTTCTTTAGCATTTGCCGGCAGACGCGACCGTCATCGCAAGCGCCGAACTTTTTTGTGCGCGCGAACCAACCCAAAATTGCTCTGGTATGTGTATTTAAGAATGGGCCATCCGAATAAGCAACAACATTCATGTCGTTCGGTGCTTTTCCCTACGCCTATAGGGATCCGTGTGCTTCCTTAGCATTTGTCAGCAGTCGCGGCCGTCATCGCAGGTGCCGAACTTTTCTGTGCGCGCGAACCAAGCCGGAATTGCTCTGGTAGGTGTATTTAAGCATGGGCCACCCGAATAAGCAACAACACTCAGGTCGTTGGACTCTTTTCCCTACGCCTATAAGGATCCGAGCGCTTCTTTAGCATTTGTCGGCAGACGCGGTCGTCATCGCAGACGCCGAACTTTTCTGTGCACGCGAACCAACCCGGAATTGCTCTGGTAGGTGTATTTGAGCATGCGCCACCCGAATACGCAACAACATTCAGGTCGTTTGACGCTTTTCCCTACGCTTATAGGGATCTGAGCGCTTCCTTAGCATTTGTCGGGAGACACGGCCGTCATCGCAGGCACCGAACTTTTCTGTGCGCGCGAATCAAGCCGGAATTGCTCTGGTAGGTGTATTTGAGCACGAGCCACCCGAATAAGCAACATCATTCAGGTCGTTCGACTCTTTTCCCTACGCCTATAGGGATCCAAGCGCTTCCTTAGCATTTGTCGGCAGACGCGAACGTCATCGCAGGCGCCGAACTTTTCTTTGCTCGCGATCCAAGACGGAATTGTTCTGGTAGGTTTACTTGAGCATGCGCCACTAGAATATGCAATGACATTCAGGTCGTTCGACTCTTTTCCCTACGCCTATAGGGATCCGAGGCTTCCTTAGCATTTGTCGGCAGACGCGGCCGTCATCGCAGGCGCCGAACTTTTCTATGCGCGCGAACCAAGCTGGAATTGCTCTAGTATGCATATTTAAGCATGGGCCATCCGAATAAGCAACAACATTCAGGTCGTTTGATGCTTTTCCCTACGCCGTGCGCTTCCTTAGCATTTGTCGGCAGTCGCGGCCGTCATCGCAGACGCCGAACTTTTCTGTGCGCGCGAACCAAGCCGGAATTTCTCTTGTAGGTGTATTTAAGCATGGTCCATCCGAATAAGCAACAACACCCAGGTCGTTTGACTCTTTTCCCTACGCCTACAGGGATCCGAGCGCTTCTTTAGCATTTGTCGGCAGACGATGCCGTCATCGCAGGCGCCGAACTTTTCTGTGCGCGCGAACCAACCCGGAATTGCTCTGGTAGGTGTATTCAAGCATGAACCACCTGAATATGCAACAAAATTCAGGTTGTTCGACGCTTTTCCCTACGCCTATAAGGATCTGAGCGCTTCTTTAGCATTTGTCGGCACACGCGGTCGTCATCGCAGGCGCCGAACTTTTCTGTGCGCGCGAACCAAGTCGGAACTGCTCCGGTAGGTGTATTTCAGCATGGGCCATCCGAATATGCAACGACATTTAGGTTGTTCGACGCTTTTCCCAACGCCGATAGGGATCCATGCGCTTCCTTAGCATTTGTCGGCAGACGCGGCCGTCATCGCAGGCGCCGAACTTTTCTGTGCGCGTGAACCAAGCTGGAATTGCTCAGGTGGGTGTATTTGAGCATGGGCCACCTGAATATGCAACGACAGTCAGGTCGTTCGACACTTTTCCCTACGCGCATAGGGATCCGAGCGCTTCTTTAGCATTTGTCGGTAGACGCGGCCGTCATCGCAGGCGCCGAACTTTTCTATGCGCGCGAACCAAGCCGAAATTGCTCTGGTAGGTGTATTTGAGCATGGGCCACCCAAATATGCAACAACATTTAGGTCGTTTGATGCTTTTCCCTACGCCTATAGGGATCCGTGCGCTTCCTTAGCATTTGTCGGCAGACGCTGTCGTCATCGCAGACGCCGAACTTTTTCTGTGCGCGCGAACCAACCCGGAATTGCTCTGGTAGGTGTATTTGAGCATGCGCCACCCGAATACGCAACAACATTCAGGTCGTTTGACGCTTTTCCCTACGCTTATAGGGATCTGAGCGCTTCCTTAGCATTTGTCGGCAGACACGGCCGTCATCGCAGGCACCGAACTTTTCTGTACGCGCGAATCAAGCCGGAATTGCTCTGGTAGGTGTGTTTGAGCACGAGCCACCCGAATAAGCAACATCATTCAGGTCGTTCGACTCTTTTCCCTACGCCTATAGGGATCCAAGCGCTTCCTTAGCATTTGTCGGCAGACGCGAACGTCCTCGCAGGCGCCGAACTTTTCTTTGCTCGCGATCCAAGACGGAATTGTTCTGGTAGGTTTACTTGAGCATGCGCCACTAGAATATGCAATGATATTCAGGTCGTTCGACTCTTTTCCCTACGCCTATAGGGATCCGAGGGCTTCCTTAGCATTTGTCGGCAGACGCGGCCGTCATCGCAGGCGCCAAACTTTTCTATGCGCGCGAACCAAGCTCGAATTTCTCTAGTATGTGTATTTAAGCATGGGCCATCCGAATAAGCAACAACATTCAGGTCGTTTGGTGCTTTTCCCTACGCCGTGCGCTTCCTTAGCATTTGTCGGCAGTCGCGGCCGTCATCGCAGACGCCGAACTTTTCTGTGCGCGCGAACCAAGCCGGAATTTCTCTTGTAGGTGTATTTAAGCATGGTCCATCCGAATAAGCAACAACACCCAGGTCGTTCGACTCTTTTCCCTACGCCTACAGGGATCCGAGCGCTTCTTTAGCATTTGTCGGCAGACGCTGCCGTCATCGCAGGCGCCGAACTTTTCTGTGTGCGCGAACCAACCCGGAATTGCTCTGGTAGGTGTATTTGAGCACGAGCCATCCAAATAAGCAACAACACTCAGGTCGTTCGACTCTTTTCCCTATGCCTATAGGAATCCGAGAGCTTTTTTAGCATTTGTCAGCAGACGTGGCCGTCATCGCAGGCGCCGAACTTTTCTATGCGCGCGAACCAAGCCGGAATTGCTCTGGTAGGTGGATTTGAGCATGGGCCACCCAAATATGCAACAACATTTAGGTCTTTTGATGCTTTTCCCTATGCCTATAGGGATCCGTGCGCTTCCTTAGCATTTGTCGACAGACGCGGCCGTCATCGCAGGCGCCGAACTTTATTGTGCGCGAACCAAGCCAGGATTGCTCTGGTAGGTGTATTTGAGCATGGGCCACCCAAATATACAACAACATTCAGGTCGTTTGATGCTTTTCCCTACGCCTATAGGGATCCGTGCGCTTCCTTAGCATTTGTCGGCAGACGCGGCCGTCATCGCAGGCGCCGAACTTTTTTTGTGCGCGCGAACCAAGCTGGAATTGCTCTGGTAAGTGTATTTAAGCACGGGCCACCCGAATAAGCAACAACACTCAGGTCGTTTGACTCTTTTCCCTACGCCTATAAGGATCCGAGCGCTTCTTTAGCATTTGTCGGCAGACGCGGTCGTCATCGCAGACGCCGAACTTTTCTGTGCGCGTGAACCAACCCGGAATTGCTATGGTAGGTGTATTTGAGCATGCGCCACCCGAATACGCAACAACATTCAGGTCGTTTGACGCTTTTGCCTACGCTTATAGGGATCCGAGCGCTTCCTTAGCATTTGTCGGCAGACACGGCCGTCATCGCAGGCACCGAACTTTTCTGTGCGCGCGAATCAAGCCGGAATCGCTCTGGTAGGTGTATTTGAGCACGGGCCACCCGAATAAGCAACATCATTCAGGTCGTTCGACTCTTTTCCCTACGCCTATAGGGATCCGAGCGCTTCCTTAGCATTTGTCGGCAGACGCGGCCGTCATCGCAGGCGCCGAACTTTTCTTTGCGCGCGATCCAAGACGGAATTGTTCTGGTAGGTTTACTTGAGCATGCGCCACTAGAATATGCAATGACATTCAGGTCGTTCGACTCTTTTCCCTACGCCTATAGGGATCCGAGGGCTTCCTTAGCATTTGTCGGCAGACGCGGCCGTCATCGCAGGCGCCGAACTTTTCTATGCGCGCGAACCAAGCTGGAATTGCTCTAGTATGTGTATTTAAGCATGGGCCATCCGAATAAGCAACAATATTCAGGTCGTTTGATGCTTTTCCCTACGCCGTGCGCTTCCTTAGCATTTGTCGGCAGTCGCAGCCGTCATCGCAGACGCCAAACTTTTCTGTGCGCGCGAACCAAGCCGGAATTTCTCTTGTAGGTGTATTTAAGCATGGTCCATCCGAATAAGCAACAACACCCAGGTCGATCGACTCTTTTCCCTACGCCTACAGGGATCCGAGCGCTTCTTTAGCATTTGTCGGCAGACGCTGCCGTCATCGCAGGCGCCGAACTTTTCTGTGCGCGCGAACCAACCCGGAATTGCTCTGGTAGGTGTATTCAAGCATGAGCCACCTGAATATGCAACAAAATTCAGGTTGTTCGACGCTTTTCCCTACGCCTATAAGGATCTGAGCGCTTCTTTAGCATTTGTCGGCACACGCGGTCGTCATCGCAGGCGCCGAACTTTTATGTGCGCGCGACCAAGCCGGAATTGCTCCGGTAGGTGTATTTCAGCATGGGCCATCCGAATATGCAACGACATTTAGGTTGTTCGACGCTTTTCCCAGCGCCGATAGGGATCCATGCGCTTCCTTAGCATTTGTCGGCAGAAGCGGCCGTCATCGCAGGCGCCGAACTTTTCTGTGCGCGTGAACCAAGCTGGAATTGCTCAGGTGGGTGTATTTGAGCATGGGCCACCTGAATATGCAACGACAGTCAGGTCGTTCGACACTTTTCCCTACGCGCATAGGGATCCGAGCGCTTCTTTAGCATTTGTCGGCAGACGCGGCCGTCATCGCAGGCGCCGAACTTTTCTGTGCGCGCGAACCAAGCCGGAATCGCTCTGGTAGGTGTATTTGAGCATGGGCCATCCGAATATGCAACAACATGTCAGAGTTATATGACATAGCTACTGTAGGCTATAGTGGGGTAGCACATATGGGGTACAGTTGCCTAGGGTTTGCCTTTTGTACCCAACTTTCACTTAGTCATTTCATTCCTGTTTTCTTGATTCACATGGTATAGAGCGGGTTCCTACATGGGACCGTTCCTTCCTAAGGGCCCACCATAGATTTTTTTTTTTAGCTGCCCGCGCACATTGCGCCCTGCCCTAAAATTTTTTTTTAGCGGCCCCTACGCTGCCCCTACGCGGCCCCTACGCCGCCTCCCACGCGCCCCCTATGCGGCCCCTGGCGGCGCCCTGACGAGGCCCCTGCCGGCGCCCTATCGCGGCCCCTGACGCGCCCCCTGGTGGCGCCCTGACGCGGCCCTGACGCGGCCTGACACGGCCCCTGGCGGCGCCCTGACGCGGCCCTGCCGCGGCCCCTGACGCGGCCCTAACGCGGCCTGCCGCGGCCCCTGCCGCGGCCCTGAAGCGGCCCCTGACGCGGCCCTGACGCGGCCCTGACGCGGCCCTGCCGCGGCCCCTGGCAGCGCCCTGACGCGGCCCCTGACGCGGCGCCCTGACGCGGCCCCTGCTGCGGCCCTGACGCGGCCCTGCCGCGGCCCCTGACGCGGCCCTGACGCGGCCTGCTACGGCCCCTGCCGCGGCCCTGAAGCGGCCCCTGACGCGGCCCTGACGCGGCTCTGCCGCGGCCCTGACGCGGCCCTGACGCGGCCCCTGACGCGGCCCTGCCGCGGCCCCTTCCGCGGCCCTGACGCGGCCCTGCCGCGGCCCCTGGCGGCGCCCTGACGCGGCCCCCTGACGCGGCGCCCTGACGCGGCCCTGCCGCGGCCCCTGATGCGGCCCCTGCCGCGGGCCCCTGACGCGGCCCCTGACGCGGCCCCTGTCGCGGCCCCTGACGCGGCCCCGCCACCTACCTTTCCGGCCACGCCGCCTCCTCTCAGCGGCCCCGCTGCCTCCTCCCAGCGGCCCCGGACGCCGCCCTCTCAGCGGCCCCGCCGAGCCGCCCAGCAGCCTAGCCGCCCAGCAGCTGAGCCACCGAGCCGCCCAGCAGCCGAGCCGCCGAGCCGCCCAGCAGCCGAGCCGCTGAGCCGCCCAGCCGCCGAGCCGCCCAGCAGCCGAGCCGCCCAGCAGCCGAGTCGCCGAGCCGCCCTGCAGCCGAGCCGCCCGAGCCGCCCTGTCCGGTAAGAGGAGCGCCTCTCTCACAGCACTGCCCTCACCCCACTGTTTGCGCTGCTAGTCTACTGCTGTCATGGCTACCCCTAGTGTCCTCGCTTTTGACGCTGAGGGTCGGGCCATTGACTTTGACGTCTGGATAGATGACCTGCAGCTTTTCTTACAGTGCGATAGGGCAGACGGCCTCTCCCTCTTTGACCTCACTTCTGGTGCCTCTCCTGCCCCCGCCACTGATGCTGACGCAACTGTTCGCTCCCAGTGGGCCACGCGCGATGCTGCTGCACGTCTTGCTGTGCGTCGCCACCTGCCTACCTCTGAGCGTGCGCACTTTAGCCAGTACAAGAGTGCTCAGACCTTGTACGACGCTGTAGTTGCACGCTACTCCTCCCCTGCCACTGCTGCACTGAGTCGCCTCATGCTACCGTACCTCTTCCCTGACCTTGCTTGCCTTTCCCACAGTCGCTGACCTCATTACGCACCTACGCACTAGTGACACTCGCTTACCGCGCTGCGCTTCTGCTGAGTTCTGCGCCAAGAACCCCCCCCCCATGTACATCACCCTCTACTACATAGTCACCCGGCTCCCTGACTCCCTTCGCGTAGTCAGGGACCACTTCCTCTCAGTTTGCCCCACCACTCTCACCGTTGACCTCCTCGAGAAGTCCCTCCTAGCAGCAGAGAAGAGCATAGTAGCTGTAGGAGCCTCTCGTGGTGACCCTCGCACCCCCATCTTTGAGGGGTGTTCCCCCTCCCCCCTTTTGCCCTCTGTTGCCTCTGCTGCTGCGGCCGACCTCGTTGGGCTTGAGTCGGTCGGTGCGGCGTCTACCCCTAGCGGGAGACGCCGCCCTGCAAGGGCAAGGGGGGCAGGGGCCCTGGAGGAGCTAGCGGGGGCGGTGGAGGCGGCAGTGGAGGCGGTGGAGGAGGTGGGGGTGGCGGTGGGGGTGGTGGCGGGGGTGGAGGTGTCGGTGGCGGCAGTGGAGGCGGAGGCGGCAGCGGCAGTGGCGGAGGGAGCGGAGGTGGCGGCGGTGGAGGAGGAGGCGGCGGAGGAGGTGGAGCTGGTCGGGGTGGCGCTGCGCAGAGGGTCGGCTCCGGTGGTGGTCAGCGCCAGCAGCAGCAGCAGCACCAGCAGCGCACTCGTGACATCCCCTCCCCTCAGCAGCTCCGTGAGTGGTACACTGCACGCCAGAGGGGTGGGGGTACTGGTCCGTGCACCTACGTCCTCCGCACCGGCGACCGCGCGGGTGAGCAGTGCGGGGGTGCGCACTCCACCCAGCGCTGCTTTGGCCGCCTGACGGACGCTTGGCGTCACCAGTTCCCTGAGGCCACTGAGATCCCCCGCTGGGGTGAGCTGTCTAGGGCAGGTGTGGCTGTCTTTGACCTTGACTTTGATGCTATTCTTGCTGCCATGTATACTGTGACTATTAGTGATGAGGGTGACTGTTACCGGTGTTTTCCGCCCGACCCGGGCATTGAGACTGCTGCTCTAGGTACTGGTGAGGCTGCTGCTCTAGGTGCTAGCGAGGCTGCTGCTCTAGGTGCGTCTGCTCCCTCAGGTGCTGGTGAGTCTGCTCTCTCAGGTTCTGCGTCGGCTTCGGCCTCCCACACCTTCACCCTTGACTCGGGGGCTTCTCGCTCCTTCTTTCGAGACCGCACCACACTCACGCCGCTTAGCCGGCCAGTTGCAGTCTCTCTGGCAGACCCCTCTGGGGGTCCTGTCCTTGCTCACTTCTCCACTGTCCTCCCGTGTCCGGCGGCCCCCTCTGGCACCCTGTCTGGTCTTTACCTTCCCTCGTTCTCTACGAACTTGGTGAGTGGTGCTGACCTACAGGATGCGGGGGTTCACCAGTTCACTCCTGCGAGTCGGCGGGTGACCCACTGCACGGACGCTCGGACAGGCCGACACCTGGCCACGTTTACCCGTCGGCCGGGGTCGAGCCTGTACACCCTGACCACTGCGTCTCCTCCAGTCACTGCGTCTGGTCAGGTAGCTGCGTCAGGTCAGGTGTTTGCTGCAGCGTCCAGGTCTGGTCCTGAGTCTGCCCCCTGTTCGTGTCGCCTCCTGTCTCACGAGACTCTCCCTCTGACACCACCGCCTTGGTCACCCCTCCCTGCTTCGTCTCCGAAGCATGGCCTCCCGTGTCCTTGTCTCTGGTCTTCCCCGGTCCCTCCCTCCCCTTCCTCCGGGGCCTGGCCCTACCTGCGTCCCCTGTGTCGAGGGGCGGCAGCGGGCTGCCCCTCACTCCTCCCAGTTTCCTCCGACAGAGGCCCCGCTGCAGACGCTTCACATGGACGTGTGGGGCCCGGCCCGCGTCCGTGGACAGGGTCACGAGCGCTACTTCCTGCTGGTGGTTGACGACTACTCGCGTTACACCACAGTCTTCCCCTTGCGCAGCAAGGGTGATGTCACTGAGGTGTTGATCGACTGGATCCGCGCAGCTCGTCTCCAGCTCAGGCAGAGCTTCGGCTCGGACTTTCCTGTTCAGCGTCTGCACTCTGACAGAGGTGGAGAGTTCTCCTCTGGCCTTCTGCGAGCCTACTGTCGTGCACGAGGCATCCGCCAGACCTTCACGCTTCCGGACTCTCCACAGCAAAATGGGATTGCTGAGCGCCGCATTGGCATGGTCATGGACGTCGCCCGTACGTCCATGATGCATGCGGCTGCCCCCATTTTCTGTGGCCGTTTGCGGTTCGGTACGCGGCGCATCAGATCAACCTTCACCCCAGGGTCTCCATGCCGGAGACCTCCCCAGCTTTGCTGTGGACGGGGAAGGTTGGCGATGCGTCTGCGTTCCGTGTCTGGGGATCTCGGGCGTTTGTCCGCGACTTGTCTGCGGACAAGCTGTCCCCTCGTGCTGCTCCTTGCGTCTTCCTTGGCTTCCCCCCTGACGCGCCAGGGTGGCAGTTCTACCACCCCACCTCTCGCCGTGTCCTGTCCTCCCAGGACGTCACGTTTGACGAGTCGGTCCCCTACTACCGCCTCTTCCCCTACCGCACTCCGTCCCTCCCCCCGCCACCGCTCTTCCTTGTCCCAGGTCCCCCCCGGTAGACCCCTCCCCCCTCAGGGTCCTGCCCCTTCAGGTGTGTCCCAGGTAGACGCAGTCGAGCCTGTCGAGGTTACTGGTGACTCTGGTGCTGCTGAGGGTGCTGAGCCTGGGGGTGCTGACTCTGGGGGTGCTGAGCGTGTGGGTGCTACGCCTGGGGGTGCTGAGCCTGAGGGTGCTACTACTAGGGGTGCTGAGCCTGAGGGTGCTGAGCCTGGGGGTGCTACTACTGGGGGTGCTGAGCCTGGGGGTGCTGAGCCTGGGAGTGCTACGCCTGGGGGTGCTACGCCTGGAGGTGCTGAGCCTGGGGGTGCGGAGCCTGAGGGAGCTGGGCCTGCTCGTGTGGCGTCTGGCGGTGCTGAGCCTGGAGGTTCTCCGGGTGCTTCGTCTCTGCGGGAGCCACTCTCTCCACAGGAGCTGCGCGAGTGGTTTGCCCGGCGCTGGAGGCGTGCTGCTGGAGCTGGAGGTTCTTCGGCTGCTGAGGGTGCTGGTGCCGCGGGTCCCGGAGGTGCTCGTACTGGGAGTACTGGAGCTGCTGGGCCTGCGGGTACGACTGGAGCTGGAGCTGCTGAGGGTGTTAGCGCTGAGGCTACTGCTGTCGGTCCTGGAGGCGGTCCTGCTGGGGGTGCTGGAGCTGGAGGTACTGCTGGCGCTGGTGCTACCGCTGGGTGTACTGGTGCTGTCCCTGCTGTGTCTGGAGTCGCCACACGGCCTAGGCCGTACTTCGTTCCGCTCCTTCAGCAGGTTCTTGGTCTCCCGCCTTCTACTGGTCCTCCTCCTCCCTTAGAGTGTCCACAGCCTGTCCCGTCACAGTTACAGTTACAGCCGGCCTCCCCACTGCCCGCTCCTTCTCCCTACACTGGTCCTACTGGAGGTCTTGCTGAGCGTCGTGAGCCTGCGTCTCGCCCTGCGTCGCCTGTCCGTGCTGCTCGCACTAGTGCTCGTGGTTCGCGTCAGCGTCCTCCTCCTGTCCCTGGCACGCACCGGATGTCTCTGCGTCCGTCCACTGCTCCTCTGCGTGCCCCTTTGCCTTCTCCTCCTGAGTCCTCTCTTCCTGCTCTTCCTGACCCGGAGTCGGACTCTCTTCGTGCTGCCAGTCCTACTGTCACGCGTCTCCTTGCTACTGTTGTCACTGACCCTTCCTTTGAGTCCACTGCTGCGTCTGCCCTAGTTACTGAGCTCGTCGACTTTGCTGCTCGCTGTCGTCTAGACTACGCTGCTAGTCTTGTTGCTGAGTCTGAGTCTGTCTGTCCTCCGTCCGTCGGGGGTGAGTGTGCCCTTGGCACGGACGTCCTTGAGGACAGGCAGGAGGAGTTCCAGTGTTTGGCTGCTGCTTCACCTCATCTCGTGTCCGTACTGCTTACCCCTGAGGGAGACCCGGATGCACTTGACATCCCGACTCCGCGCTCTTACGCGGGAGGCGATAGAGGGTCCCTACTCCTCTCAGTGGCAGGCAGCTATGGACGCAGAGATGGCTTCCTGGAAGTCCACAGGCACCTACGTTGACGAGGTTCCCCCGCCTGGGGCGAACATCGTCAGTGGCATGTGGATTTTCAGGGTGAAGCGGCCGCCGGGTTCTCCGCCTGTCTTCAAGGCGCGTTACGTGGCTCGTGGCTTCAGTCAGCGGCAGGGAGTTGACTACTTTCAGACCTTCTCTCCCACCCCAAAGATGACCACTCTTCGGGTACTGCTGCACATAGCTGCTCACCGCGACTACGAGCTGCACTCTCTTGACTTCAGCACTGCTTTCTTGCAGGGCAGCCTGCACGAGGAGATCTGGCTGCGTCGCCCACCTGGCTTCACTGGGTCTTTTCCTCCTGGCACCCAGTGGAGCCTCCGGCGGCCAGTCTACGGTCTCCGCCAGGCACCGCGTGAGTGGCACGACACACTGAGGACTACACTTGCGGCTCTTGGGTTTGCTCCCTCTACTGCCGACCCGTCGCTGTTTCTGCGCACCGACACTTCTTTGCAGCCGTTCTACATCCTCGTGTACGTCGACGACTTGGTCTTTGCCACAGCTGACACTGCTGGACTCGCCCACGTGAAGTCCGAGCTGCAGAAGAGACACACGTGCACAGACCTGGGTGAACTGCGCAGCTACCTTGGCTTGCAGATCACCCGGGGACAGAGCACGCCGCACCATTACCCTGACTCAGTCACACATGGTGCAGCAGGTCCTTCAGCGCTTCGGCTTCACGTACTCCTCGCCTCAGGCCACTCCTCTGCCTACTCGCCACTCGCTCTCAGCTCTGCCTTCGGATGAGTCCGTAGAGTCGAGTGGCCCGTACCCAGAGCTTGTTGGCTGCCTCATGTACCTGATGACCTGCACACGACCTGACCTTGCATACTCTCTTAGCATTCTTGCACGCTATGTTGCTCCTGGGAGACACAGACTGGAGCACATGGCTGCAGCGAAGAGGGTGTTGCGCTACTTGTGCAGTACGTCGGGCATGGGGCTTGTGCTTGGAGGGCAGAGTCCAGTGGTCCTCACTGGACACGCAGACGCTTCTTGGGCTGACGACCAGGCTACGCAGCGGTCGTCACAGGGTTACACCTTCAGCCTTGGTTCCGGCTCTGTTTCGTGGCGGGCTACTCGCTCGTCTTCTGTTCTCGGCTCCAGTTGTGAGGCTGAGATCTACGCCGGGGCCATGGCTGCACAGGAGCTTCGCAGGCTCACCTACCTGCTGACTGACCTCGGAGAGCCGCCTCGTTCTCCTCCAGTGCTCTACGTAGACAACAAGGCCATGCTGGCCTTGTGTCAAGAGCAGAGACTGGAGCACAGAACGAAGCACATTGCTCTTCGCTACTTCCTTGCTCGTGAGCTACAGCACCGTGGTCAGCTGCGACTTGCGTACGTGGCCTCTGAGGCCAACACTGCTGATATCTTCACCAAGGCACTTGCGCCTTGTGACCATCAGCGCTTCTGTACTCAGCTGGGTCTTGTACCTACCTTGCCTCACTTGCTCACCTCTTGACCTTGTTTGTACTGTTGCATATATATATACTCCTGCTCTTGCTTGTCTAGCCTTATATATATATGTAATCCTGCATGTGAACTGGCCTTGTGGCCTTGAACTTGTGCTCGGAATGTGTGGTGACTTTGTGATCCACCCTGAGCTTGCTTTGCTTTGCTTGACTGGTCTTGTGACCCCTTGTTCTCCCCCACTTTGCCTATGGGGGTGTGTCAGAGTTATATGACATAGCTACTGTAGGCTATAGTGGGGTAGCACATATGGGGTACAGTTGCCTAGGGTTTGCCTTTTGTACCCAACTTTCACTTAGTCATTTCATTCCTGTTTTCTTGATTCACACAACATTTAGGTCGTTTGATGCTTTTCCCTACGCCTATAGGGATCCGTGCGCTTCCTTAGCATTTGTCGACAGACGCGGCCGTCATCGCAGGCGCCGAACTTTTTTGTGCGCGCGAACCAAGCCGGAATTGCTCTGGTAGGTGATTATGCATGGGCCACCCGTATAAACAACAACACTCAGGTCGTTCGACTCTTTTCCCTACGCCTATAGGGATCCGAGCGCTTCTTTAGCATTTGCCGGCAGACGCGACCGTCATCGCAAGCGCCGAACTTTTTGTGCGCGCGAACCAACCCAAAATTGCTCTGGTATGTGTATTTAAGCATGGGCCATCCGAATAAGCAACAACATTCATGTCGTTCGGTGCTTTTCCCTACGCCTATAGGGATCCGTGTGCTTCCTTAGCATTTGTCGGCAGTCGCGGCCGTCATCACAGGCGCCGAACTTTTCTGTGCGCGCGAACCAAGCCGAAATTGCTTTGGTAGGTGTATCTGTCAGAACATTATATAGCTTATGCTGTTGTGTAGGCTATAGTGGGGTATCCATATGGGGTTCAACCCAGTTAGGGTTTTCCATATGTACTCACCTCATTCATAGTTCATTCATCCTCGTTCTTCATTCTTCTCATGGTATCGAGCAGGTTCCCTCGTGGGAACTGTTCCTAGGGCCCACCGTTTTTTTTTTTTTTTTTTCTGCCCGGAGCGCACTCTGCCCCTACCCGAGTCGCGCTCCCCTCTCTCTTGGCCCCTAGTGGCCCCTTTAGCCGCCCGTCACGGCCCTTAGACGCCCGCGCGCCGCCCGTCCCGGCCCCTTAGACGCCCCGCGCGCCGCCCGTCCCGGCCCCTAGACGCCCGTGCGCCACCCGGCCCGGCCCCTAGACGCCCGCGCGCCGCCCGTCCCGGCCCCTAGACGCCCGCGCGCCGCCTGTCCCGGCCCCTAGACGCCCGCGCGCCGCCCGCCCCGGCCCCTAGACGCCCGCGCGCCGCCCGTCCCGGCCCCTAGACGCCCGCGCGCCGCCCGTCCCGGCCCCTCGACGCCCGCGCGCCGCCCGTCCCGGCCCCTCGACGCCCGCGCGACCGCCCGTCCCGGCCCCTCGCCTCCCTGTGAGCCGCCCGTCCCGGCCCTAGACGCCCGCGCGCCGCCGTCCCGGCCCCTAGACGCCCGCGCGCCGCCCGTCCCGGCCCCTCGACGCCCACGCGCCGCCCGTCCCGGCCCCTAGACGCCCGCGCGCCACCCGGCCCGACCCCTAGACGCCCGCGCGCCGCCCTGTCCGGCCCCTCGACGCCGCGCGCCGCCCGTCCCGGCCCCCTCGACGCCCGCGCGCCGCCCGTCCCGGCCCACGCCGCCCGTGAGCCGCCCGTCCCGGCCGCGCACCGCAGTCCCGGCCCCACGCCGCCCGTGCGCCGCCCGTCCCAGCCGCGCGCCGCCGTCTCGGTCCCCACGCCGCCTGTGCCGCTGAGGAGCTGAGCCGCCCGAGCCGCCCGAGCCGCCCGCACCGCCCGAGCAGCCCGAGCCGTGCTGCCCCTCAGCAGCACAACCGAGCCGCCCGACAGCAGAGCAGCCGAGCCGCCCAGCAGCCGAGCCGCTCAACAGCCGAGCCGCCCAGCAGCCGAGCCGCCCAGCAGCCGTGCCGCCCAGCAGCGGAGCCGCCGAGCCGCCGAGCCGCCCGGCAGCCGAGCCGCCGAGCCGCCGCGCCGCCCTCCTTCCGGGCCGCCCGACCTGTCCAGTCTGGTGAGCACAGCGCCCTTTCACTGCACTGCCCTCACCCTACTGTTTGCGCTGCCAGTCGTCTAGGGTCATGGC